GGGCTGATGCGGCGTTAGTTGCATATAATGTTTTCGAGAGTGACTGGACTGAGATAAAAAAGGTCCTATCACTGCACTACGCAGACAAGAGGGACATACGGACGCTAGAACACCAGTTAAATCAGTTGGCTCAAAGAAATTCCAAACTAGATGAATTTTATGCGACAGTTAACCACCAACTGTCGTTGATCGTCAACAAGATTAAATGCGACGATTATACGCAGGAAACGGTTTCCGTCCTCATAGAAACATACCGGAATAGGGCCCTTGACGTGTTTATTAGGGGTCTGAATCCTGAATTATCACGCATGCTAATAGTCCAGAAACCAAAAACACTTCCAGAGGCGTACTCAGCTTGCCTTGACATCCAAAACCTGACCTTAAGAAATACAATAGTGCATACGAACGCAGTGAATAGGGTTGTTGTTCCTACGAATAACCTGTTGCAAAACCAGCAGAGGCCAGCCATACCTCCTCGAGCCCGCACCAGTTATAACTGGACAAACAGAAACGCTGGCCAAGGATACAACAGAGTGCCATACAATAGGTTCCAGTCAAACCAAGAGTCCAACACTTCGCCTCCAGGCAGACCCACGGCTCCGAAACCTGCGGAGAAAATGGAAATCGATGGCAGCATTCAGTCTAAGCAGGTAAACTACATGAATCGACCTGCAAGCAACAACGCGTTTAAAAGAGGACCAGCATCATCAATTGAAAGACTTCCAAAACAGCAACGACTCTACAACGTGGAAGCAAGTAGCAGTGAGCCAGGAGAAGAAGAGGCTCAGCAGGTAAATTTTATGATGGACGGGCCACCAGCCTATTTCATATAAAGGCCGCTGCTCTGTATTCCAGCATACCCTACCTCACTTGCGTCACCAAAGACAATATTACCCTAAAGTTTCTTGTCGACACAGGGGCGAACAAAAATTTTGTGAATCCCAAACTAGCCGCCCGCTCAACTCCGGTTGATCCACCCTTTTCAGTGCAAACTGTTGCAGGGCCTGTTCCAATAAACAAAAAAATTTGTGGACAATTTTTTCACAGTATGGGGAATGATACTGTACTAACGTTTTATGCTCTACCAGGACTGACTTCTTTCGATGGTATAATAGGCGACGATACCCTGAAAGAATTGGGGGCTGTGATAGACAGGAAAAATCATACCTTGAAAATAGATCCGGGTATTGAAATTCCACTCAAGAACAAAACCGTTGGGGGTATTAATTTTTCTGAGGCATCGATCCCGGAGGCAGTGTTGCCCGCTTTGAAATCGCTACTTAAAAAATACTCACATCTCTTTGAGCCTTTGAGCGCAAAAATTAACATTAAAACGTCTGTCAGGGCCGAAATAAAAACTACCACAGAAGATCCTATATACGCCAAAAGCTATCCCTACCCGGCCAATATGAGAGAAGAGGTGGACAGACAGATTTCCGAACTACTCGACGAAGGTATTATTCGTCCATCCAAAAGCCCTTACAACTCTCCAATCTGGGTGGTACCTAAAAAACCAAAGCCGTCCGGAGAAAAGCAATACAGAATGGTAGTGGACTTTAAAGTTACCTTGGAATGTCATCGTATTATCGAAAATTCATCCGGGATTACGCCAGAGTGGCGAAACCCTTAACCAACCTAACGCGAGGGGAAAATGCGCAGATCAAGGCCAGTCAGTCGAGAAACGTTCGCATTAAACTGGATGCGGATGCTCTTAGGGCGTTTGAGGACCTAAAAAAATTGCTTGTCTGCTCAGACATCCTTGCTTTTCCTGATTTCGGAAAATCGTTCAATCTTACAACTGATGCTTCGAACTATGCCATAGGAGGGGTGTTATCCCAAGGCGAACCCGGAAGAGACCGGCCAATCTCATATATATCGCGCTCCCTTACCCGAACAGAAGAGAACTACGCCACAAATGAAAAAGAAATGCTGGCAATTGTTTGGGCCCTGGACAATTTAAGATCGTATTTGTATGGTGCAAAGATGATTAAGATTTATACTGACCACCAACCTCTCACTTTTGCATTGGGAAGCAGAAATTACAATGCAAAGCTGAAGAGATGGAAGGCCAGAATCGAAGAGTACAACCACGAATTGATTTACACTCCAGGTAAATCAAATGTCGTGGCCGATGCTCTGTCAAGACTGCCGTGCCAAGCAAACAATTTAACCAGTGCAGAGTCAACGGGTAAGGTAGATGATGATGAAAGTGGAAGTCCGACAAGGGTAGATGCACAATTGAACAGCGCTTCAGCTTCAGAGATTGAAAGCGATATGGCAACTGTCCATAGCGCGGAGCAGGACGCATCGGACCTTATTCCACACGTCGAATGTCCCCTGAATGTATTTCGTAATCAAATAGTGCTCAGGGAAGGTAAGGCTTTGACATGCGTAGAAAACCCACATCCTGGTTTTACTCGACACTACATAACCCTGGATAGCATCGATAAACCGACAGTAATACAAGTACTAAAGGAGCGACTCAATCCGTCACTCATAAATGGCATTAAAATCCCAGAGAATCGTCTGCAACTCCTACAGGAGGTATATTTAGAACATTTTCTTTTATATAAAATTAGGATAACTCAACGGGTAGTTGAGGACGTGGCCAACGAAGACAGAATTTGCAAAATAGTGGAAGATGAACATAAGACGGCACACAGAAACCCCAGGGAAAATAAAGAGCAAATCCTGGAAAAGTACTATTTCCCTAAAATGGCAAGTCGGATAAGGAAATTCGCATCTATCTGCGAAACTTGCCTCACAAACAAGTACGATAGACATCCCGCGGTACCCCCTATAAAGGAAACGCCTATTCCTAAATACCCATGCGAAATATTGCACGTTGACATTTTCGAAATCCAAAACGAAAAATTTCTATCCTGTGTTGACAAATTTTCGAAGTTTGCAAAACTTTTCCACATAAGGAACCGCTCATCCCTCACTCTTCGTGCAAAATTTGCCAAGCTTATCCACTACTTCACAACCCCCCGGGTAATAGTAACAGACAATGAGAGAGGATTTATGAGCCCTCTAGTAAGAAATTATATAAGAGGTTTAGGGATTGAATTGTACGAAACTCCAGTGCAAAGAAGTGAAGTGAATGGGCAGATCGAAAGATTTCATTCAACTTTGATCGAAATCTATCGATGTCTGCGAAAGGAAATAAGCAATACGAGTCCCAAAGAACTAGCCTACATTGCAGTCGACCACTATAATACAACGATTCACTCTGTGACCAAAAGGAAGCCTAGTGATGTATTCTTTAATAGAACCGAAAGAATAAACTACCAAGAACTGACAGATTTTAGAAGTAAGGTCCACAGGGAAATTAAAGATCGAATTAGAAAAAATCAAGAATCGCGAAACCTTCGACTAAATAGGAGAAGGAAAGGCATAAAAAAGTTTATGGTAGGAGACGATGTCTATGTAAGGGACAAACAGATTAAGAGTAAACAAAAACCACTCTATAAAAAGGAAAGGGTTCGCAAGGACAACCGAGTAACCCTAGAGACGGACACTGGTAGGAAAATTCACAAGGTACATATAAAAACTAGGGCTCAATAATAACAATAATAATAAAAAAAAAAATAAATAAAAAAATTTAAACACGATCAGGTGCACACCGAGGGAAAAGTTAAAAACGCCACAAGTAAACAGAAACATTTGTTAAAGAGGCATCTACAGCCCACTAATAAACAGCAGAAAATGCTATATAAAAGAGGCATCTGTAGCCCACCAAAAAACAGCAATAAATGCTAGTTAGGCGTCTACAGCCCACAAACAAAAAAAAAAA